CCTACTATGGGAGGGCAGAGGGGCTCACGGCAGCACCCGCGGCTCGTTAACTGCTGAACAATATTTGAGTCTCCAAACACCAGAAAAGTCCCTAATAACACCATTACAAGTCGTTAAATTAGTCGTTAGTCGCTTTTGACAAAAATGAGAAGCCGGAGGGTTTGGAAAGCCGCCGAATTTAACGAGAAAGTCGCCAAGTTGGCAACACTGCCCGCTAGAATTTGAAAATACACAACCGGAGAAAATCTGCCACTTCCTTACAGAGCCCCTCCTCCAACACACACGAACGTGCACATGACCAATGAGGGCACGAGATAAGTTTGTGCACAGATGGAAGGCTGACAGGCAGGTAGGCCATCCAGTTATTTTAGCCGGGCCGGCTCAGATGATTGGTCGTACTTTTTACAGTATTACGGCTTCCACAGATGACATTTTTTTATGGATTTTTTGTCAAAGCACTTAAGATATTCATTGCTATCGGGATGTTAAGAGCATTCCATGGAATATAACAAAAAGTGTATCTCGAGCCGGTTTCTCAAACTTACCTACCCCACCTTTAATCTAACTATTCAAACTGTTTATCCATTACTTTAAGCTAACTATTCAAACTGTTTATCCATTACTTTAAGCTAACTATTCAAACTGTTTATCCATTACTTTTATCGAACTATTTTAACTGTTTATCCATTACTTTAAGCTAACTATTTAAACTGTTTATCCATTACTTTTAGCTAACTATTCAAACAGTTTATCCATTACTTTAAGCTAACTATTCAAACAGTTTATCCATTACTTTAAGCTAACTATTCAAACAGTTTATCCATTACTTTAAGCTAACTATTCAAACAGTGTATCCATTACTTTAAGCCAACTATTTAAACTGTTTATCCATTACTTTAAGCTAACTATTTAAACTGTTTATCCATTACTTTAAGCTAACTATTTAAACTGTTTATCCATTACTTTAAGCTAACTATTCAAACTGTTTATTGTGGAGTCTATTTTTATATAACATTACAAGACTGATTCTTATTATTACATTATAAGCTTATTGTGCTCATTGTATGTGCTGTGATTTAGGAATAATAATAAAAGGACCCAATCACCCGCTAGAATTTGAAAATACACAACCGGAGAAAATCTGCCACTTCCTTATAGAGCCCCTCCTCCAACACATACGAACGCGCACATGACCAATGAGGGCACGAGATAAGTTTGTGCACAGATGGAAGGCTGACAGGCAGGTAGGCCATCCAGTTATTTTAGCCGGGCCGGCTAAAATGATTGGTCGTACTTTTTACAGTATTACGGCTTCCACAGATGACATTTTTTTATGGATTTTTTGTCAAAGCACTTAAGATATTCATTGCTATCGGGATGTTAAGAGCATTCCATGGAATATAACAAAAAGTGTATCTCGAGCCGGTTTCTCAAACTTACCTACCCCACCTTTAATCTAACTATTCAAACTGTTTATCCATTACTTTAAGATAACTATTCAAACTGTTTATCCATTACTTTAAGCTAACTATTTAAACTGTTAATCCATTACTTTAAGCTAACTATTCAAACTGTTTATCCATTACTTTAAGCTAACTATTCAAACTGTTTATCCATTACTTTTATCGAACTATTTTAACTGTTTATCCATTACTTTAAGCTAACTATTTAAACTGTTTATCCATTACTTTTAGCTAACTATTTAAACTGTTTATGCATTACTTTAAGCTAACTATTCAAACTGTTTATCCATTACTTTAAGCTAACTATTCAAACTGTTTATCCATTACTTTAAGCTAACTATTTAAACTGTTAATCCATTACTTTAAGATAACTATTTAAACTGTTAATCCATTACTTTAAGCTAACTATTCAAACTGTTTATCCATTACTTTAAGCTAACTATTCAAACTGTTTATCCATTACTTTTATCGAACTATTTTAACTGTTTATCCATTACTTTAAGCTAACTATTTAAACTGTTTATCCATTACTTTTAGCTAACTATTCAAACTGTTTATACATTACTTTAAGCTAACTATTCAAACTGTTTATCCATTACTTTTATCGAACTATTTTAACTGTTTATCCATTACTTTAAGCTAACTATTTAAACTGTTTATCCATTACTTTTAGCTAACTATTCAAACTGTTTATACATTACTTTAAACTAACTATTTAAACGGTTTATCCATTAGCTTAAACTAACTATTGAAACTGTTCATTTATAACTCTACGCTACTTAAACTGTTTATCTATAACTCTAAGATAACTATTTGAACAGTTTATACTATTTTCCGCTTTTTGTCGATTTTAACCTGTCATTTTGAGCTAACTATGTCAACTGTTAATCCTGCACTTTAAACTAACTATGGATTATGGGATTAAATGATGGTGTCTATTTATTGTACCTTTACCTTTGTCCTGGAAAAATCAGTTAAGAGCTCTATTAAAAATCTAAGAAAACACCGTATGAACATGAAGAACTTTTAAACATGAGAAAGAAAAGAGAAAAATTAGATATTTATTTATTTTTCTGAGAACGAGAAACAAGATGCTATGCAAATCTTTGAAAGGGTAGGACATATCTGTGGAGTGACCAACTGACAGTGAGCTAAAGATGCATGTTTGCACTGAGAACAGGCATAACCCTGACTTACTGTTGCCTCTTAAGATAAGGTAAGTAGTGTGGTTGATATATGGTGTACATATTATTGATTTGTGCAATGAAATGTGGTACATTTATGTTTTCCACGGGACCAATTGCAGCTGCTTTGGTGATCCTCTTTTCCAGCACCGTCAGGTCAGGACTTTCCCATTAGCACGGATGACTGAATTGTCTCCCTGTATATATATTTTAATTTAATATTATTATTATTATATTTAATCTTTAAAATAACAAAAACAAGAAGCAAATGTTTATCACAGGTTTGGTTTTTGTTAAAGGGTGTCAAGATTTCAACACAACTTCATGAAGAAATTATCTGAACTAGAAGAGCACACTTCAGGTTGACTCCAACAATAAAGATCGATAAAATACATTCTTATTTTCTTCTGCAGAGATTAGTATGTGTCTTCCTAAAGCTTTTTTTTGTGATTACAGTTTTTTTCAATTGCTAAAATATATTTTTGACAACAGGGCTCATTTTCTCTAAACACTAAACACAATTCTCAAAACCACACACCCAAAGTGCAAAACACCTAATTTTTCTTGCAAAAGGAAGCACTGCACCCAAAACTACATAAACACTTACCAAAACCTAACTTTTGCACCAAATGGCACACACTTCACTTATAGTACAAGCCACTTTGTCCAACCAACTATACACTGTGGTGCTTTATCTAGAGAGCACACTCGTCTTTTTCCTCTATGTAGAGAATTCTGCATATAAAGATTGTTCAAGACTACAAAATGATGTGCAGAGACAAAAATATACATTGTTATACTTTTATTTTTGTCCAAAACAAATTGGTGCAACATTCATGCAGAACAAATAGTAACAGTTGTGTAAACACAAATTATGCCTCAAACACAGTAAATGTAAAGGAAATCTTTGAGGAAAACCTTTTTTTTTTAAAACAAAAAGACAGAGGAGAAAAGTGCTTCGGGTGCATCTCGCCACCTAGCTGGGCCTGGCCACAGCACCTCATCCACATCACAAGCAATATCTTCCCTGGCTAAACATCGAGGGAAGAAGCGTCTTGAGTGTCGTATCCATCCCTGGATAGCACTCACATCAATCTCATCACATGCCTCTTCCATTGCCTCCAAAAGAGTCAAGCGCTCGTATGGCTGACGGTCATACACCTTCCAGCGCCATGCCGAAGATAACTTAGAAATGGAGAGTAGGGTGGAAGATACAGAAGCAGAAATTGTGGGTGGTCAACGAACCAGTTTTGGACGGTGGCTGCTCGATGAAAGCTGACATTGTCCCATACAATTACGTATCTGAGTTGCAAAAAAACGTATATATCCTGTATAATGACTAACTGCACTCAAAACAACATCAATTCTTATTGAAACCCAACTTTTGCAACTAACTACACACTGTGGTGCTCAATCTAAAGCACTCTTACTTTTATGCTTTTTATTTCTGTATGTAGAAAATTATGCACTACAGAACAATGTGCAAAAACACCAATATTCTTTTGAAACAAAACATTTGTATTTCTCTCCACAACAAAATGTATGCACAGCAAACACAGTTGCAGTTGTGTGACCAAAAGTATGCTCTGCAGCTTTGACCGTTGTGCTGCAAATAAACTCTTCAATTGACTTCAGTTCATCCTCCCTCTCACTCTTATCTTCCCTCTGCCTCTTCCTCTTGCTGCTGTCCATATATCCATTGATGTTGTAAAAAGGTATTATGTGGAACCTTGTTCAAGTGCTTACATCCTGATTGCTGAGTCAACAATAAAGCATTTCCGTGTTTATGTTCATTTGGCACGTGTATTTGTTGATTGGTTCATGTGTGTGGCATTTTTAATGGCAGTGTTTTAAAAATGGCAAATAAGTGAAAATGTCAGATTACTGTGTTTTACTTAGAGAACCTTGTGCAGTGTTTTGCAAAAAGTGCCAAGTTGAATTGCAAATTGGGCGCAGAGCTGAAAATGTTTTTGGAGTATTGAGCTGAGGTTTTGCTCTTTGAGTGTGAGTTTAAATAATTATGCTTTATGTGAGATTTTTGTGTGTTAGCAACTGAAAAAAACTGTAACATGTCTATATGTGAACGTTACGTTGAGATGTTTTCATAAATGGCAAACAAGTTATTTAGTTATGAACTGCTACATGGCCCGAATAATTTAAAGAAAAACCTTTTGATAAAGTGACACGTATACACTTGTACAACTGGTTGGACCAATATGTGACCTCCGAACAGGATGTAGAGACTAGCGTAATTATCATGGGTGGAACTGTGCAGGTGGAAGGCAACAGCATCAGATTACATTTAGTAGAAATTGAAAGTGAAAGCAAATAGACTGGATAGAGCTGATTAGAAGGGAATACACACAATAGCTCCTATCACTGATGCAACAGAAGCTCAACAAACACTGGTGAGGTTAACCACTAGAAATCTATCTATCTATCTATCTATCTATCCATCTATCTATCTATCCATCCATCCATCCATCCATCCATCCATCCATCCATCCATCCATCCATCCATCCATCCATCTATCTATCTATCTATCTATCCCCGGGCGCTGTACAATAGCTGCACTGCTCCTAGTACTAGACGCCTGGTACTAGGATGGGTTAAATGCAGAGAACAAATGTCACTGTGTTTGCTGTGTGCTCTGCATGTGTGACCATTAAAGAGGGTCTCATCCCTCCCAATTCTATTCTATTCTATCTATCTATCTATCTATCATCGCTCTCTAATTCATTTAATAGTTTTATTTGTTACCTCTGCCAGGCGTGAGGAGATACTGTTGTGTTTGTGTTTGTGTTTGTGTGTGTGTGTGTGTGTGTGTGTGTGTGTGTGTGTGTGTGTGTTTTTATGCTCATTTGTGCTCAAAAACCTCTCATGGTTGCAGTGATGTGAATTCAAAGATTATTGCAAAGTGTATTATTTGTATTGACTGCTATCACCATCATTGACTGCTGACTCAGCACTCCTCTTAATCGACTAGTGATTCATAACTGCTTCACTTTCAAAGTGCATTTCCGGAAATCAGAATCTGAAGATGAATTACCAACCTGATGTTAAGTTAGAATAAAGCTGTGGACACACTCATTGTTAGGGTAAGGAACATATGTTGGGGGCAGGGGTGATGTAGAGTTAATTGGTTGTCTTTCGTTTGTTTCATCTTTACCAACTTGCTGTCAAGCTTGTCAAATAGTTGTAGTTTGTGTGTATGTGTTTAAGTTATTGCTAATGCCAAAATAATGTACATGCTGTTAAATCATGGCGATCTGATGTTTTTATCATTAGGAAAAAGACAACAACGTTCTCTCTCAAACCTTTCAACCAAAAACAACTGGTTTCTACTTTAAGATGTTCTTTCTCTGTTTTCTGTACATAAATATTCAGGGCTGGGACGTGTGAATATGGACCGAGAGGAAAGAGATGTGAAGGCCGGTCTGATTGAAGAGATGCAGCGTAAAGATGCCACAAGGGGAAAAGCGAGTCCTCTACGACTCACGCCAGCAAGAAAACAAGTTCAACAGCAAAAATATACAGGTGATACTGCAGTTTCAACTGTTTTAGTGTGTACAACTCTCGGCCTGGTTGTATTCATTTAAGCATTTATTTTGTCCAAACTGCAATAGAAAATAATCCACTACACGTAAATCTGGAAACCTTAGTTTTACTGCTTTATAATCAGTTTAATATTTAGCAATCAGCAGCAGATCATTATAGCGTTGTAACTGTCCTGTATCTTTAAAGTCAACTTTTACAAGTTTTGTAGAAAAACATCAATGTTTTCAGCTTTCTGAAGATGCATTTCTAGGCAATCAAAGAGGCTTTTTAAATACTGTATTCAGTTTAAGATGATGGAAAATGTTTAAAACACATTAATAAAACCCACTTAATTTAATCACAAACAATTTAAATCAACACATTTGGAGGAACATGGTTTTTCAAGGGACAGAAACATTTAATGTAATGTAATCTGTAAGGTTAAATGTGAACTTGGTACAGTATTTAGTAAATATACTGAGCTGCAGTCTTATTGTCTCCTTGCAGAGGAGTGGTCCAAAGTGCTGGAGGAGCCGGTCTCCATCTCCCCGGAGCTGAGTTCCTGGATCAAAGCCAACGCCAATGAGCTAAAGCTCCCGCAGACAGACCGCCGCTGGGCTGCAGAGGTGGTCAACGATTTCCGAGACAACCTGGTGAAATTCCTGCGGAGCAGCAGTGATCAGCCATTCTTCCAGTCAGCTGACTTCCTCACCACCGGCAGCTACTTTGAGAAAGTGAAGGTGAGAACTTGAGGAACTTTTAAAATGTCTAAATGCAACCATACAGCTACAAACACAGGGAATATTGTGACTGATAGTAATATGTCTAAAATGTCTAAAAACTACAGTGCTTGTGTTACATTTTTGGTGACATTTTATTGTCCCAATAATTCCAATTACTTTTTAAAACTACATTTTAATTAAGGTGACACTGTTACATTTGTTCAACTGTTATGGGCACGTTCCCCTTTCAAGCCGTGGCAAGGTTAGTAATTGTCTGTCAGAAGCGTCATAAATTGACTTTTTATCCAGTTTTAGGCCACATTTTTACCAAACCCTTTTAGATCATAGCTGTCTTTAACTCTTTATTTTTACTTTTTAGAATTTAGGATCTTGATTAAGCGGAAGTGGTATTGCGCCTCACAACCCCTTATTTCTAATGTGAATCTGCTTTGTGAAGTCTTTAATTGGTTTAACTCAGTGGGTGAGTTTGTTACGGAGAGGAGGACAGCTTTGCAAGGAATTCAGCACCTGGAAAAAACTCCTAAACAATGAGAAAATCTAACCGGGAGAACATTACTCCAATGACGTTAATGGTGTTGGAAACAACAACCCCATGATCCTAAAATACTAGAACATTTAGTTTCTCGTTATTGTTGAGATTGAGGGACCCCTAGTGACAGAAAATGACATATTGTGTTTAAAGTCAATGTTGAATGGGTGTCTTGAGAAGAGAGAAATAAATACTCTATTGACAGAACACAAACAAGCACCTCCATTGTCGCTATGTTTAATCTCAGATCCACAGCCCGGATGAGTTCGACATGATGCTGAAGCTTCAGGCTCCGTCACGCTTCAACATGAAGGAGCTCGACGAAGGCCTTTTCTACCAGATCGATCTTGTCCGGCCGACTCGGGGCCCCATACAAGTTTTTCTCCTGGAGAATGGGCTCACCCTCTCATCCAGCAAGATCTTGAATGAGACGTTTCGCCTGGTCCGCAAGTTCCTCAAGAACTACAAAGGTCTGGTCATTCATCTCTCTGACTGAAAATCTGCCCTACTTTCTGTTGGAATTGGAGATTTTAAGACAAATTTTCTGTATATTTTGTTGACATTCATCCTGCTTTGGGAACCTGGATAATCCTTTTAATCATGTTTCTTACTTCCAGTGCCAGATGAAGGCTGTCGCTGGGAGGTGAACAGGAAGAAACCCGGCTCACCGGCTGTGACCTTGTCTCTGTTCAGGATTGACATGTACAGCGACGAGTTGATCTCTCTGGACCTGGTTCCTGCTCTGGAGGTAAATCATTGTATCTGTTTATTTTTATCATGAAGAGTAGTGTCAATCTGCAGAAATGTTCCATGTTTTTTGGATTACAGATACTGATAAGAGACACTTAAAGTCCTAAAACATAAGTTGCAAAGGGGAAAAAAAAAAAAGACTAAATGCACTTATATATAGTATTTTCATTTTCGATTAATCATCCAGTTATTTTCTAAATTAATTAATGAATCATTTGTTCTATGAAAAATGTCAGAAAATAAAGTAAATGTCCATCTAGTTTTCTCAAAGTCCAAGTTGATGTCTTGATTTATTTTTGTCTGTCCAAAACCGGAAGATATTAACAGAGAGAGAAAATCTGGAAATCTCTACATGTGAGTGACTGAAAATGTTGACTATAGACATAGTTTCATCTCATTTTGTTATGCAGTATTTCAGAACAAAGTATATTATACTTGATTTTAAAAGTCTTATATACCGCTTGGTAGCTTAATTAATAATAACAAATCATTTGTATTGGTTGAATATCTTTTCTATTAAGGATCTAGTTCTGCTAACTGAAGGATTTAGTTCTGCTAACTGAATTGACAAATAAAGGTAGTAAAATTCAAAGTACATTATTTGCCTGATATGTAGTTTAAATTTAAAATAGCACACATTTGAAATACTCAACTAAAGCACACATACCTCAAATATATCCTTCAACATATCCCACCACTGAGAGTTGGTACTAGTGACAGCAGTATTGCACTTAAAGCACTTGTCCCTGTTCCTGTTTGGAGGTTCACTCCTCTCAGGGCTGGCCTCTCCCAGTCCGTAACGGACCCGATGTGGATAACTGGCTGGGAAAGAAGGTTCGCAAAGAGATCACCAGTTTACCGTGTTACTTCGTACCAAAGAGGATGAAGGGAAGAAACCTCAGCGGGGAAGCCAAAGGTGAGAGAAACATCTGTCTGTGAAGAACAATGACTGACAAAATCAAACCTCTTCTGCATACCCTCATCCCCTCTCCTCTTTTCAGCTGTGTCTAATAAAGGCAAAAATATATATAAAATGATTTTATTAACAGACAATGTAGCTCTGCTTGAATGTTCCTCCTGACTACCCTGCATGGATAATGAGATGGTAGGCCCCTTGGCACAGACATGTTAAGGGCTTCACCAGCTCTCCTCCAATGAGCAATACACACAGACTTTAAAGTTGTTTAACCTCTGTGACCATTGTGTCTCTCTTCATGGACATTTTATATTCCTTTACCATAGTTTGAGTTCGTAAATGGGTGTTTCTTCTGAGGTCATTTAGTTTTTAGTAACTTTGTTTTGTTTCCGACATCTTGTGTCATTTGAGTTAGTTTGTGTCTGTGGTTGCGTGTCCCTTTTTGTAGTTGCTTTATGTCTCGTTGTAGTTGGAACATGTCTTTTTCAGGGAAATCCTGTAGGTGCAGGCAAGACAGGCGTGTTCAGTAATCCTCTCATGCCGACTGCTACAGGAGGACATGTAGGACTGTTATTATTTTTGTGAGTGTTTATTTGTGTGATGACATGTTCCCATGAGTGTGTTTTTGTCTTTCTGCAACAGAAAGTTGGAGGATTTCTTTCTCTCACGTTGAGAAGAAAATCATCACGAGCCATGGCAACAAGAAAACCTGCTGTGAGGGCAAAGCCAACAAATGCTGCCGGTTAGGCTCTGAACTCTTTATCTTCACATCTTCGTAACATTTACTTCCTTGTTAATCTAAAAAATAGTGTCAGGTATTGTAGGTTATAATAATAATAATGCATTTTATTTATAGAGCGCTTTTCTTGAAACTCAAAGACACTTTACAGAGTAAAAATTCATATAAACAACACACTTTAAATATATAAAACAAAACACGAGGTCACGAGGTGAGAGGTTATACAGAGCTTCACTGAAATGAAATATCTTAATATTAGCTTTTTATAAAACTATTTATTGAGCATATTCTGTGCCGCTTTCTAATAGGATATCTTAATTAAAGGATTTTAAGTTGTATTTAGTCATTCTTAATAAGATCAGATTATAAAAACAATTTTAGATTTGTATATAGTTGTTCCCATGCATCTTCATGTTTTAATGTTATCTTAATTTTCTTTCATTTGTAAAATAGTTTTTTAGGTGCAATATAAATAGTTATTATTATTATTATTATTATTATTATTATTATTATTATTATTATTATTATTATTATTATTATTATTATAAATAACTGTATTTTACAATAAGTATTATAAGTGTTTTTGTTTTTATTTGGGCCCTTTCACAATAAATGATTTGCTATTCTCTCTGGCAGTAAAAGGTGCTTGATGCTGCTCAAGTCTCTGATTGAAGGTCTGAAACAACGTTTCCCCAAAGAGCTGGATCCCCTCTGCTCGTACCACGGGAAGACCGCCTTCCTTCACATGCTGTCCATCAGGTAGGACTTAATTCCATTATATTTATTATGAATAAAATGTGCAAATTGCCGTAAGGTGTTCCAGCGGATGTTTTTATAAAGTGTGTGTATGATGTATTGCGCTTTGCAAAAGATAAACAGCCATTGTGTTTGTTGCAGTTATAGTACTAGTACCTTTTGAATGATATTAGTATTATTTTGTTTTGTTTGCTCCTCTTTGTCTGTTTTGTTTTGTCTGTCCACCATGTACAGCGACCGTGGGTCCCTTGAAAGGCGCTTTATAAATTCCATTTATTATTATTATTATTATTACTAGTTGAAGAATTAAGCATAGTATGCCACAGAGTCAGGCATCAGTGTCAATCCCAGCTACATTAGATGATGAACAGCTGATTACATTTTCGCATCTGATTAATAAACCTCAAACAGGGTGCCAATTTAAGCTGCTTCCTCTGCTGGTCGCTAAGCGGCCAAGCTCTACCAGCTCTTCCTTCTTCCATGCTGTATCGGACTGTTCAAATGTCATTTCTGTTGACATCGATGCCTTCTTTGTTCTGTCTTGTGCTAGTACTCTTTCCACCTTGAGTGCTTTTTTGACTTAAGTGTTTCTTACTGAACTACTAATAAATATCTCTCAGTTTCCTAATTTCTCTTACAGTCATTTTTCTGACGTTTTATTTTCATTGTCAGGTTTGACGACTCGATGTGGGCTCTCCAGCAGCTCCCCGCCTGCTTCCTGCTCCTCCTCGGGGCTCTGGAGGCCCACACTCGTGCAGGAGTCCTCCCTCACTTCTTCGCTCCCAACTACAACCTCTTCTCGGGTGCTGTCTTCCCCCGCAAAGCGATGTCTTTCCTCCTCCATGCTTTGGAGGAGCAGAGGAGGGAAGGCCTGCCCCTGCTGAAGCCTCCCGCTCCTGTCTCACCGCTCTGCAACTTTGTGAAAGGGATATCTGATGAAAGCTTTTCACTTCCTCCCTCACCTGCTGACTCCCCCTCTTCACTTTCCCCTTCTCTGTCTCCTATTCTAACATCCTCTTCACCCCTCTCTGCCAATAAGTTGGTAAGGAGAGATTGGAGAGAATCTGAACCTCGTAGCCTCACTGCTCTGGGTCCTCTCTGCTTCTCTGATACATCCACTGAAAAGCCTTCCATACTGACTGCAGTCTGCTCTCTGGACACTGCATTGATGAAACTAGTCCTAGTGCTTGTGGCAGCATTTGTGTGTGTCCTATTATATACATTATAGACAAAATGGGGATTCACACTGAATATATAAAGCATCAAAGACACTCCTCCCTCTTTTAATGCAATGTATACATTGGAAAACAGATAACTAAGGGAGTTATTCCTTATAGATTTTAATTAAATGATCATTAATTGGATAATATCATATTTATTGAATCGTATGAAGTTTCTTGCAAATAGTCTTGGGTTCTGCTCAATTTCAGGTTCATACTTTATGGGTTTCTTCTAGAAACATTTCAACATGCATACAAAAAAACACATTATAAGCACCTATCTCTTTAAAGCCCCCTTCCAAAAAAAGGCCCAGTCTCAGTTTACAAACGAGAAAAATATTGTAATGGTAGTTTTTAATCTGTGGGCGGAGACGCACAAACGGGGGCAGTATATTCTAACGAGCCTGCTATGATTTAGGAAGGGGAGTAAAATCTGAATGGCTTTGCATGTTTTTAGACCAAAACACATAAAAGCACATAACATGTTCCTTTAAATGATTGAGCAGCATACAATAAAGCTTCAACAATCATAATGTTATCATCTTAGAAATATCTCAAATATATGAACAGACACAGAGACCATTTTGCACACCTTAATTTGTCTCAGGAAATCATGTCCGGGGTCACAGTTCTCCTTAAGTGTATTCTAAAACATGCTTTTATCAGATAGTCTTTCCGGATCTAACTTTGGTTTTACTTTCCTAAACTGTCTTTTATTTCTTATATTCTAATCAATTTATTAGCTTTTTATGCTATATTGTTTTAAACACACCAAAAGCTTTTTTATCTGTTTACTTAAACCTCTTGATTTGTTATTGGTCTGTTGTTGTGCTGTCTTTGTGAAGCAATGTTGTATTTTGGAACATTGAACAATGTAAATCTATTCCAGGAGACCTCAACAATGGAATTATGATCAGTAGAAATGGCCATGTCATGGGACCTTTAAGAAAATATTCATTATGTTTTTCCAGAAACAAAAAACTTTATAAAATGTTGTAACATAATAGAGTTATTTTCAGTCCTTGCTTCAGATCAGAGTGACATTGTCTCTGTGCAAGGTCTTTTTTACCCATACCCGTTTTAATTAAATTACTTAATGTTGTGTATTCTATACCATTTTAATGTTAGGGTAAGTGTTTTTTTTTGTGTTTTCTGTGATTTCCAGTAAACTGTACTTATGAATTGAATTAATATGTTGATTCCTAATTAAAGAAAGGTTTTTAAATGGAACTCAATGCCTTGTGTTTTTGGTGTAATAAAGAATAAAGGGTATTAGGAGAAATATATGGCAAAAGCAAATACAGTAAAAAAACACAAGTCTTCAAACCAATCAATCTACTGTTGCAGATTCTCTTTTCTTGATCAACATATTTAGATTGATATATTAGATATATATATTGTGTTTAAAAAAACAAGAATAACCTATTCATTAAGCAGTAAACAACACCTTTTATACAAACAAAATAAATTTATAAATGTACATATCTGTATACATCTTCTTTCGTCCTACTTCTTTTCTACATGTCTTCAATTATTAACTCTACATTAAAACTATGTGAAGTAGCGTATGGAGCACCTTAAGTCTTGAAAGTACGGTTAGGTATTTTATAAGATGGAACAATATAATTGTCTTGCCATTTGAGTAATATCTTTTGCTTGAAGTGCCGTAAACCGGAACCCTTGCGTTTCCCCGCGATGTCTCTCCGGGGTTATTAGCCATGAACACATCATTATAAAAGTCTCTCGCCGGAAACGTGTCGGCCTCTACTAGTGATCCAACATGGCGGTGAGTACGCTCTCACATCGAACAAACATGAAGTTGTGTTAGAAATCCACAATCATCGGAGCTGTGGGGTCTTATTAACCGCTGTTTGACGTACAGAGACCTAGACTATATCATGAACAATTAAACTAGAGTCTTATTAATGCAATAAATGTAACGGAGGACTTTAAAACTAAAGAATGAGAGTGATGCTAACGTGCTAGCTCCTTGATAACACGGTCCGCACGTATACTTGCAGTTTTATATATACTCATTATTGATATTGCAGCCAAATTGTGATGCTGCGAATATGAAGCAGTTATGTTTCTACTCGTTGTATGCGCTTTCTTAGTTATTATTTACTATCCGGAAACAAAACGTTTTGTGAGCTGTGTCAATGCTATCAGCGCAAAGCGGGGATATGTAGCGACATGTCCTCCGGCCGGCATGTGTTGATGTGTCTGTCTCAGTCTGTTGGATTTTTGAGACGGAAAATAGCAGTGTTAGGACTCTGGGAATTATAGATTATAATGCATGTCAATGTCAAACTGAAAATGGACTGTTGTTGAAACTTTGGTTTAGTTTTTTTAGCCAATGTTAACACGTTAGCAGGTAAAGTCTACATGGGTCTTTCCTGTGTTGCCCAGGTAGTGAAGACTGGGCTGTCTTCATTTTAAATGCCAAACGACTGAAGGGAGATGGATGTTTTTATCGATCAAAACCTTTGTAATTGGTCAGGTGTTATCTGATTATCTTCAATTAATAATAGAAAGTTGGGCATTTCTTACAAAGATAATTTTCTGTTTTATTTAACAGTAGACTTACAGCACAAGTTTCCATAGTCCTGTTTCTGTGTTATTGCCATGACTTTAACAATTGCTATATTCTTGTCCTGCAGGAACAGGGTGAGAAGAAGGAGAACCCCATGAGGGAGCTTCGCATTCGCAAGCTCTGCCTGAACATCTGCGTCGGTGAGAGCGGAGACAGACTGACCCGTGCTGCTAAGGTGCTGGAGCAGCTCACGGGACAGACTCCCGTCTTCTCCAAAGGTGGGTGTTTGTGTGTAGGAACAACCTTAAAGGAGCTGTGGAAGTGTTGACTTCTATTTGTAAAATCGAAGTAGTGTGAAAAAAGACTGTCCCTTGTATAATTTCCTCTTTTTTTCTAGTAGCATTTTGTATTTGTTTTATTTAAATGTTCAACATGTCTATACAGGAGTCACGGAATAGGGGGAAATCTGAACAGTTTGTAGATGTTAAAGTATTTTATAAATCAAAGTACTGTATTTAAGTTTTGGTGTTTTCTGCAGCCCGCTACACCGTGCGATCCTTCGGTATCCGCAGAAATGAAAAGATCGCTGTCCATTGCACCGTCCGTGGTGCCAAAGCAGAGGAGATCCTCGAGAAAGGACTCAAGGTAAGAAAGTCATGTGGTTTATTTCTCTCTAGTTCAGACTGTCTGAAGTCTTACTTTTGGCTTGTGGCTCCAAGGGAATATGCAATCTGTACAGAAAACCACAATAAAGAAACTTGGAGGGAAAAATGAAAGAAACCTCAGAATGACCCATTTGCTATTGTTAATGATTTCTGAATTTAAGTTAAGGGCATACTATGGGACAGAGTAGCTCATGTTAAAAAAAGAATGCAGTGAAATTAGGAAGTAATGTCATTGGTGGTGTGTACTGATGCTAATAATTGCTTTTCATTCTTTTTTATTTTGATATTGACAAGTTAATACTTCCTGCCTTCAGGTGCGTGAGTACGAGTTGAGAAAGAGCAACTTCTCAAATACCGGGAACTTCGGCTTCGGTATCCAGGAGCACATCGATCTGGGTATCAAGTACGACCCCAGCATCGGCATCTACGGCCTGGACTTCTACGTGGTGAGTAGCCCCAAAAAACCAAATTCTTAATGTAGCTGTCTTTTGATATAACGGCAAGTACACGTTCGAGACAAAGTTGTGTTTTATGTTTAGACTCTAAAGGCTGAAGGTTTTGTGCTTTACACACAAGATGTTGCAGCTTAGTTTACCTTTTTCTATTGGCACTCATTCCACAGTAGGTAGTCAACATAAAATCATTTAAATGCTGTTTGTTCTAGTTGTGTGATGCGCTATATTTCCTGATGAAAAGCATGTTAATGGTGTCTTGCATGTTTTTTTTCTCATTTTTAAATTGGATCTAGAATCAGAGGGTACTCAAATACAGATGCTCCTTTTTTTCTGATTTAAGATCATTTAATAAAATGTGAAATACTTCCTATTCATAATATAACAAACAAGAAGGCTCCTGCTGTTGGTGTGTAATGGTAACCTATGCAGAAATGAATTTAGAATTCGCAATTTATCTTAAATACAACAATCATTTAAAAGTATATTCATTTGGGTTGTAGAAAATAATCACTGGACTCCTGTGTTACAGACTCCTAAATCTCTATGAAATATATTAAGCATAATTTTCAACCAGTACTGAAGTAAAGAGGCAGTACAAATGTATAAAGTATTTGTGCTGTTTTTTTTTTCTGACCACTCCGTCCTCCCCTCTGTGTTCAGGTTCTGGGCAGACCCGGCTTCAGCATTGCTGACAAGAAGCGGAAGAAGGGCCGCATCGGCTTCAGGCATCGTATCCGCAGAGAGGAGGCCATGCGCTGGTTCCAGCAGAAAGTGAGTGTTGCTTTACCACAAATGCTAACGCCTGAAAACAGTACACTAGCTCCACTTTTTATTTCATGGTTGGTATGGCTATTTAAAAGGAAAGAAGGGAATCCCTGGTATATTTTATAGTTATCAATGTTTACATTTATGTAAGGTCAACAATGTTTATGATGGGGAGATTTGTTGGATAATTTGCAGAACATCTAAACCCATTAAATTAAGAATTGATCATTGATTAACACTGATAGTATAATAATGATGGAGTTTTAAAGGCCTTATTTCATATATATAATCGTTTAATTTGCCATCTGGGAGATTTGTCTCTTCTCTGATAAACAAACGCTTGATAAACGGTACATTTATTAATCACAGTAGTTGATGCCAATAATGATTTTATAAGTTTTAATAGATTAGTATTTGCAATTTCTTGCTTCTTTGGCTTTATCCCCCTGCTTGTGCCCCTCTGTATCTGAAATTATACTTTTATAAACAAATTCCTTGCTTTTCTGTTCAGTATCTAATGTTTGTCTTGTTACTTTTTTTCTACAGTATGATGGTATCATCCTCCCCGGCAAGTAAAGGACCACTCCTGGATGTTTGTAACAAATAAATGGGAAAAAATGACTTGTCTCATGTTGTGGTATTTCTAGGCTCTCATACCTTCAGTTAATGTTTACTTCAAGAAAGATTGTGTGTGTGTGTGTGTGTGTGGGGGTGGGTGTGTGTGGCTCAGTATGACCTTTAGAGACTTAAAAGTTGGAAAAAGCTTATTATACCTTATGCCTTCAAGCTTACAAATGTCCCTGTATGACTAGTGACGTACACACATTCTGTTTTGAAGGAACTGACAAACCAGAAATAGATTTACTTTCCCCATCTGTAGAGAAACCTGACACCTAAGCAGTGGTGAAGTAACAAGTATATTTACTCGGATACTTGAATACAATTCTGATGGTACTTCATTGTAGTTTGTATTTTTTCTGATACTAACATTTCTACCCAACTTAATTTAAGAGGGACATTTTGAACTTATTACTCTACTAATTTTATACGACAGATATATAGCATTAAATTACCCATTGGAATATAAAATAGGTACATTACCAGCTACAATGCCAAAATGCTGCTTACACATGAGTGTAAGAAACAAAGGGGCAATTCTTACTGCATTGAGACTACATTTGATATTTGAGCCAAAAATACTTTTATGTATACTTAACCTTCACTCATTTTAAAATGCTTTTTGAACATGTAAAACATATTGTTGAATGATAAATGAAACTATCCAACAGTATTTAAAACTTAACGTTTGATGCACCTTGACCAGCTTCATTTAAATGCTGCTTACTTAATTTGTAAAATTTCGTGTTTAACAATGACATGATATTCTTCCTGTATGACGACCTTTGTTTTTCATACTTAAACCTAAAATCTTTAACGCATGAATTAAAATATCCATCACTGCGTCTGATACACCATCCCTTAATTATCTAAGAGGTAAATCCAATCTCATTAAACCTAGCTCAGTGTTGAATGCTATGCTACATTGTATTGGAATATTAATTATTTGAACTCAATTACATGTATCTTGCATCACATCTGAGTCTTTTTTGAGGTCGGACTACATTTCCCAGAAGCCCAGTCTGTAGTTATAAATAAATAAAAAAAGACGGTTTAATATGTTTTGATAACGTTTGCTTTATTCAGTGAAACCCGCAGCACATCCAGTGACAAATACAGAGGGACTCATCCAATCAAAT